TTATGAACAATATACTCCATTAATTAATTTCCTATTCGTGGATCTCGGGTTGTCCTCGATTTAATCGGATCTCGCCTTGATATGAAGACGTATATATATATATATATATATATATATATATATATATATATATATATATATGTTCGGTTAGATTTCCGCGGTCAGATGAAAAATCACTAGGTTCTCGGGAAGAACCGCGTTGAGAATTTAATGCTGGACGTTTCGGCTCCCATTGTGGAGCCATTATCAAGAGGGATACGGTTCGGTTCGAGTTCAGGGTCTCAATCTGCCTACACCCCTCACTCAAAACGCACCAGTATCGTATTCTGTATTATAAATACAAGAACTGTCTCTCGGCACTGAGGTCTCAATCTGCCTACTCCTCAGTGTCGAGTGACTGAGCGCCTACAATATTTCACAAACTATTGATACAGGACGAAAAAAATCACAAAATTATTTTTTTATCTCAAAACCAGCCAACAAATTTTATACACAGGGTATTTTCGTTATAGTTGTTTGTAAGATTTTAAAAAGTTTAAATATTTCAAAACGGTTAGTTTTTTTTAATAAAAATATAAAGTGATTCATAAGTCATTTAAGCTAGGCGTAAATATATGACAGAGCTCAAGATTCTGCTACTTTAAACATTATACTGGTGAACTGATGAATATGTCACTATGATCAAAATTCGGGAAGTCTCAATTCCAGTTTATTCTGGGTTTATTCTATTTCATCAACTACGTGTTTATCATAAAAAGTTGTATGTTTTCTATGATTGAAAGAAGCTGTTGTACTTTAAGTATATGTTGATCAAATTTGATATTTTTGGAACGGAGCCAATTTTGAATATTGCTTTTTTTTAGGATGCACTTGTTCGTATTTTCTCTATTTTAAGAGAATGTTTGAAGATGATTATAGACAAGATGAAGGTAATGGTGTTAAGTAGAACACGAAATATGCAATTAAATATAAGAGTAAACAATAAGTACATCCAAAAGGCCCCCAAGTTCAGATATCTCGGTAGTTGGATAACTAAAGATCTAGATTCTAGATCCAGACATAGAGATACGTAGCAGGATTGAGCAAGCCAGAACAGCATTTACTAATATCAGAACCCTGCTAAGCAATAGCAGCCTTAACTTAACGCTTCGATATCGCTTTGTAAAATGTTACATTTACTTCATACTGCTATATATGGTGTAGAAACCTGGATCATAAAGTCCAATGTGATAAACCGATTGGAGGCTTTTAAAATGTGGGTATTTAGAAGACTACTTATATCCTGGACAGATCACACAACAAATATCGAAGTATGAAATCGAATTGGCAGAGAACGAGAATTGCTGTCAATAATAAAAAGAAGAAAAACTACTTATCTGGGTCATATATTTCAAAATTCCAAGTATCAGTTCTTAAAACTTATTATGGAAGGAAAGATTGAAGATAAACGGGGCATCGAAAGAAAGAAATACTGAGGGCTTAAAAACATAAGGAATTGGACAAACCTCGATGCCCATGCACTCTTTGGAACTACTCAAGATCGAGAGGAGTATGCCGTAATTGTCGCCAACATCCACTTATTGGATAGGGCACCATAAGGAGAAGAATAAGAGAATGGTACGGTAAGTTTTCAAAAACAATAATAGTTTTTACTTCTAATATTGGTAAGATATTGGAAGTTTTGGTTTGGAAGATATTGGCCCTGAATCTGATCATCTCGTTAAGGTAATCACCAAACTTATTCAACTCAAATGCTAGGAGGCATTTAGAACAAAACCATGCTCGCTGCAAACTTGACAAATAATAAAGTGTTTTACATTTTCTTAAAAATTCAAAGTATATGTAAGTTTTGAGATTGGGAATGCGTAGAATATAACAAATAACCTGAAGGATTTTTTAATACCGTTGTCGATCCATCCAAAAAAGTTTTATTAGATAATTTGACTGTAGTGTTTACCCATATTTTAGATTTTGTATGCCCAGCGTTCAACTATATCTCATCCAAATAATAAATTTTGCGCTTCTCTTAAAAAATTAGTTTTCTTTAGTATTCTACAAAATATGATTTTTGTCAAATTTGGCAAATCAGGATCATCGTTCACCTCCTTTAAAACCGTATTCACGGTGGGTATGTCGTTTCTCATGGAAAAATTTCCCAATATAATACACTTCGATCACAAACATTTTTTCTAATGGTTCGATCACAAACGATCACCACTTTTTCTATAATATCTCCAACCAATAACCTGGGACTTTCTATTGTTTAATATTTAAATACATTTAAAATTATTTCGTTCACTATCGTTCACGATAAGAAGACTTCTTGTAGTTCGTTTTCGAAAAGGACTCCATATATTGTCAACTAATTAATTAGCAGAATCAGTGGACGACATTTTTCGATATTTTCAATAACATTAATCACGTATACAGTTTAAAGACGTTATACAGATCAAAATAAATACTTAAGTTTTAAAATTGTTCATAATTAACAGCATAAACATAAATTGTCCTTTAACCATTAAAACGACAAAACATCGTGATTACTAAAAATCGATTCAAAATACAAAAACACTTTAATACCAAAATAGTAAATCTGATCCAGACCTGTATTAGTTGCCGATGACGTCGACTAGCAATTTTTCTAGTTAATAAGAAATGGTTATTGCATTTAGTTTTTGAATATTTTTTAACTTATTTTTTCCCAACAGTTGTGTTTAATATTATTTTAATCTGTAGCATCATATATTGTTCTGTTACTTTCAAACAATTCAATTAAAAATTTGTCTTTGTGTCTATTATGAATTAATTGACGCATTGTGTCAAGTTAGAACGCGTACCAGCAGTACCTTGCAATGCTTCAAAAAAACTAAAGACATCCAATATTTGAAGCCACGTGCAATAGTGTCACACTGCGTTTGGCTTACAATAGAGAACCGCATCCATTACTTACTGCATTAAGTATGCATACGCGACGTATAACGTAATTGGAGTACGGCGTACGGCGTTTATTGGAGACCACCGCCTGTGAAGTTGCGTACGGCAGTTGGACGCTTCGTTCAGCGTGCAATAAGAGACCGCATCTATTATTTATTGTACTAGTATTAAGCATATAGACGCGACATAGAGCATGACGCAATACGCGGCGTACGGCGGCGTTTATTAGAGACCACCGTCTAAAGGTTGATGCTACCAATCTGTTAGATTATAAATACATACCGTATTGGGTATTGCGATCCTAATCACTCATTTAATCATGTTAACTGCTGAACATATGTCTAACTTGTCAATTATTATACGGTATGGGGTAAATGAAAAAAATAAATTGTAAAATGTTATTTCGTAAACCGGTACCTTTAAGAAAAAATCCTAAAATTAGTCTATTCGTAAGGATATCTTTTTATTTTTGACGTAACAAAACGAATAAAATTGTATTATTACAATAAATATTTATTATTTATTATTCATTAAATACAACTAAACCTAAATTGAGTTCTCAAATTATTTACCTTTAGATAAAATACAATGAGAAAAAATAACCGCGAACTCTTCTCGAAAGTTCTCTATAACTTCCGGAGTTATTTGTGCAACCTTAATACGTATCCTTTCTGTGAGATCATTGATATTATGTGGTTGTCTATTTTGGTACAGTTTACTTTTCCTAGTATTGCTATAAAAATAAAGCAAGAGGAGTAAAATCAAGTGACCTAGGCGGTCATTCTATTGTTCCTCTTTGACCTAGCACCTATTTGGAAAGACGTTGTTGAAGTAGTTGCGCACCAAGACACCATAGTGTAGAAGTACACCATCTGGCTGCAGAAATAAATCGGTTCTGTTTATAAACAACCAACTTAATTTGTAGAGCAAGAAGTTATTAACAAATTATAAATATCGAGAACCTGTTGAGGTTTCTTCGAAAAAGTATGGTCCAATAATCCTATTTTGTATTATTTCTGTCCAAACATTAACTTTTACTGGTTATTGAGTACGGTACTCTTGCATCCAGTGTCATTTTTCCGTAGCCCAGTACCGATAAATTTGACGATTGGCTTGACCGTTTAGTGAAAGTGTAACTTTATCAGATAACAGTTAAAAACATCGGATCTCTGTTATTTTGTTCCACTGTTATTTTAAAAAATTCAATTCATCTATCAAAATCATCTTTTATAAGCTCTTGTACTAATTGTTGAAAAAAATTACATGCTCAAAAAGCACTGCAATAGTTTTGAGAAGATCAAGAACTACCCGAGATCCTAAAGGTAAATCGTGAACTTGGGGATTTCCTTTAGAGCCACAATCATTGTCAAAAGCTTTACAATATCCTGCAGAACTGCATAGCATCCTGTTTTTATAGCCAATGCGTAATGGTTTTCCCTTTATATTTTTTACCCAAATGTTGACCATCAAAGTTTAACATGGCTTCGTCGATTGACAGGTTTTCATTTAAAACGCCCACAGGTAAAATCTTTAATACAAAAGTGAGATTAGTTGCCGCAATTTAGTCATAAGTATCCAGATTATCGTTATCTACTAAGTGAGTACTTTTTATTTTCCTGGATTCAGTATTTTGGCGTAATTTTTGCGACCACAGTACTAAAAAATCTTTAAGGAATCTACGTTCCTGTAGTTGGCTGTATACCATGTATTAAAAATTTAATTAAAAATCCTTTGTAAAAGGTATATTTTAGTCTAAAATATACCTTTTACAAAGGATTTTTAATTAAATTTTTAAAAAATCTTTATTAAGACTCCAATAATTACATTTGCTTGGTAGTTTATGATAGCCTGTTAGAAGTAAAATTGTCACAAAAAGTTTGAAATCAGCTTTTGAAACAAGGAATTCGAATCTAATTTATTGTGGTAAATAAAAATTTTTTGAATGCATCAAATAGTCGAAAATTTTGTCATCGATCAACTTTTCAAACACTTTAACTGAAGAACAGTTTCTCAAATCATTTTTAGAATTTTCTAACGGTTAGCCCAATTGGAAGTTGCTGACTTACTAGTGTCAACAATATTTTTAGTCCATTTTTGACTTATTTTTTTGGTTCGTTTTGATTGTAAGTTGTTTAATCTTTTAAACAGTGACAAGCTGTCTTCGTCCTCACTTTCTTTTTCATTACTGCGGTTTATATGCTGCAACTCGATTTCACCGATCACGACTATAGAAAATATATATTTGACAACTTCTAAATTATTTTTGTCCAATTCCTCTTCATCGGTCTGTGGGTCAGCATCGGGTGGTATAATAACAGTGTCTAATTCATGTTCAATAGTTGCTGTAGCATCATCTTGTAAAGCAACATCTAAACGACGATACTTTCTTCCATAAAAACTTGTTGGAAATATAGGTACTAAATGTTTTGGTTTCATAACAAACTGAAATAAAAATAGGTATTGCAAAAATAACCACATTTATTTTATATAGAGGGCTTCCGCCTATTGTCCCCAAACAAGGACACCCAACTTACCTAACTTATGTAATCTACAATTTTAGCAAACTGGTCAAAATTTGTTGAAAACAATATAACTTACACTCACAACGACACTTTTTGGTGTAGTTGTAATTGTAGTTGGTGGTTGCTAACAAATGAAATTTTAATTTTACCCGTTTTGTAGTAACACCATGTACCGCTCTTTCATACAAACGTGTGGCCTTGCCAAAAATTGTACCTGTTGTTGCTTTGGTCGAACTGATAAATATCGGCGATATAATTTAAGAAGAAAACAATGTAAACTAACACTTTGTCGTAGTGAACTCTCGATATTTCTCAATAGAAGGCACTGCAGTGAAATTTTGTTTGCTGGGCCCAAATGAATCCAGCAATCGGGATATAAAGGGTTACGTACATGGTATTAATAAATCTGTTGAAATTTCATCAATAATATTTATGACAATATGCAAATCAATCACTGTATATATTGATATGGCTAAATATTTATTTAAAAGACGTTTTAAACAATCCTACTAAACCATATTTCCATTTACAAATTTTAGCAATGACGTTATCACGCTCACATAGATGACGTCAAAAATAAAAAGATATCCTTTTAACTAGCCCGTATAAAAATAAAAATCGACTGGTTTCAGGATTTTTTTAAACGCCCGCTTACGAAACAACAAATTTATTCCTTTCATTTGTACCACACTGTATGTTTTGGCTTTTTGTAACCAGTTTTCTATTTGTTTTATTTTATCGGAACATACTGTAATATACTTCGACCAATTCTAAGAAATATGTTATTAACGAAGTAAGAAATGTCATATGGGACGCTTATTCCGCATAAACCCAAACAAAATGGTATGGCTAGTACAACGGCACGTGTATTCAACTTTTTTTTTTCTTTACTACAGCAATTTGAAAACTAAAACTAGTTTTTATCATCACTACGGCTATGTAAAACTCGAAAAAATATGCAAAAGGTGTTGACGCTTCGCTTATATTATTCTGAAGTTTGGAAATTGGTGCGACAGACAATAAACAACATCCTGAAAATAAACTTTCCCAACCCGATGTACCTCATGAATATTAAATAAATAAACTGAATTTATAATCTACGAGACTAACTCGTTTTATTTTGAATTTTCAGATATGTAGGTAAATGAGAATATGTATATGAATTCGAGTTATGGGAGTAATATAGAAAAAGTTAAAATGACAAAGCCATTTCTCATGTTTTTATTGAATTACGTTTTACGCTATACAAAACATAGCGATAAACAGATAAACCGCATTGTTGTATTTCGGTCACAGATACTGTTAAATAAAATATATTTTATTACATTTTCCAACTGTTTGTTGATAATTTTTATTTTTTGCATATTGCAGAAGTGCGTCCATATTTTCACTGTTTATATTTTATCGTTTTATGTGATAATTAATTAAATTTATGTCATAAATTTATAATATAAATGTATTTAATATTAATATTACTTTAAAATTTTTAAAATCAGTTTGAGAATAAAACCGAAAAACTAACTGGGAAACTATGAGTCTAATTCAACGCAAAAAGGAAGGAAACGAAATGGAATATCACCAAAAAATCTTACATTTTTAGTTATAAGAAGGGAATCTAAAATAATATTAAAATTAAATATTGAAAAACTTGGAATAATATAGATTCTTAAAAATATTACACATTATTCAAAACGTTTTAAGCAAATATGCTTTAAGCTTTTTCATAATTTTAATTTTGCGCTTTTTGGCCCATACAAGTATATACATAGTTAACAACCTTGGTGTGTCAAAACTATACAATACAGTTAGTACATAATCAATTGTCTCCTTCTTTTCGTACACTTAGTACACATAACGTCTGTACTGCAATTATTCTAAATTGAGTCGATCTAATTATAATACAATTTAATGCCAAGATTGGAGCTGGAGTTGAGACATTGGAGCACATGGGCTTAGAGTCAGAAACGAGAGAGGAAACCTCCTAAAAAAATTAGCAGAAGACTCAGAATTAGTTGTCACCAACACATTCCTCCAATTACCACCCCGCAAGCTGTACACGTGTAAATCTCGTCAAGACAGATCCGGGACCATTATTAGGAATCAAATAAACTACATTTTAGTAAATAAAAGATTCTGAAACAGCTTTACATATGTCAAGACTTATCCTGGAGCAGACTTGGAGACTGACCACGTTCCACTGGTGGAAATATTTCAAGTTAAACTCAAAACAGTGCAGAAAAGGAAAGCACAATTATACGACCTACGTATGCTGAAAGACCTTGATACAAGAATGAGAGTCTAAGCCACGTTAAACGAGCAAGTGACTGCAATTAGAGACGAATCGAACGAAGAACAAACGATTAAACATATTACAAAAATAAGCAAAATGTAAAGGATAAACACTTAAAGACAGATAAATTAAAAAAAGAAAAAATCATGGATGACAGATGAGATCCTGAAACTAATGAACAAGCGAAGAGAAGCCAAAAATGACCCAGACAAATATACAACCATACATATATTAATAGGAACGAAAATCAGAGAAGCTAAAGAAAAAGAAGCAAGGTACGTCAAATTCAAAGTACGATAGTCACAATGTACATAGGAAAGTTAAAGAACTCACAGGGGGACTAAGACGAAGGTAGAAAGGAAATGTAACTGATTCTGATGGAAACATTATCTTGGACAAACAGAGTAAAATAAGAATGTGGAAAGAATATATAGAAAAACTATTCGAAGATCAAAGAGATATCACCTTTGAGCTAGAAGAAGAGGTAAATGATGGGCCAAGAATATTACAGCAGGAAGTTTATTCCGCAATAACACAGATCAGTAGCAATAATCGCAAAGATATTCAACAACATATACAACTCTAAAGAAATACCAACAAAATGGCTGAAATCTGAGTTTATTACACTTAAAAAAAAACAGGAGCCAAAAAATGCGAAGATTACCGTACTATAACCAACAGCATTTGTGAACCTAACCATTTCGGGTTTACAAATGCTGTTGGTACCAGAGAGGCTTTGTTCTCAGTACAAGTCTTATTTCAGAGATGCAGAGACGTCAACTGCGACGTATACGATATCTGCTTTATTACTTACTTACTGTACTTTATCGTGTCCGGATATGTCTTTCATAAAATTTTGGCCCAGCATCGGGCTACGTCGGTTTCATCTTTGTTGGCGAGCCATAAATCTTCAAGGGTACATCGATGAGGACAGTTTTTGCATGTAAGAAGATGTTCCATATTCTGTGTTTCTCCACATTCACAGTTCACATCATTTTGGTCTATTTTTCCCCATTTTGCCATGTTTGATTTTATTGTAGCAACCCCCGTTCTTATCCTATTCAAGGTTTTCCACGTTTTAAAGTCTAGGGTCTGGCCTGTCCATTGAACCTGGGGAAGTGGAAAATACTCAGGCGGTTCATCCTGCACTGTTCCAAGGAAGCTTTTCCTAAATTTTAGTCGCTTTCGTGGTGTTCGAGCTTTGTATAGGGCATGCCGATCGTCCGCGATCTGTTTAATTTTCTCTATATATTCTGCAGCGCCTCTGCGTGTTGAGGGTTCTGCAAAACCCGCTGCTCTATATAGATTTGAAAGTGTACCGCGTTACTATCCTAAATGTCTCATTTAGCGCAGTATTAACTTGTTTGCTGTGGGCAGATCTGCTCCAAACGGGGCACGCATATTCAGCAGTTAAGAAACACAGTGCCTGTGCCGTTGTTCTTAAAACGCCAGGACGTGCGCCCCAATTACTTCCCGTTAGCTTTTTTAATATGCTGTTCCTAGTTGTTACTTTGCCTCTTGTTTTTATGCAATGTTGTCTATAGGTGAGGGACCGGTCCAGAGTTACTTCAAGATATATAGGTTGGTTTGTGTGTTCTAATGCATTACCATTCCACACAATTTGGAGTTCTCGCTTGGCTTCCTTTGTGCGAAGGTGGAAAGCGCAGACTTGGGTTTTAGAGGGATTGGGTCTCAGAGAATTCTTCAGGTAGTATGCTGTCATTGTTTTTAAGGCAGTTTCGAGTTTCTCCTCCACTTCTTCAAAACTATTTCCGTGAGCACATATTGCAAGATCGTCAGCATAGAGGAAGTGCTTGGTTTCGGTCGGAGTAGGTTGGTCGTTTGTGTATATTGAAGGGCATTGGTGCTAAAACACTTCCCTGTGGGAGAGCGTTTTTTTTTAACTCTCCACCTACTTACTTTACCCTCCAGCATAACGAAAAAACGTCTATTTTACAGTAAGGAATATACGACCTTTCCCAGATGGTGGTCATTGACAGTGTCGTATAATTTGCGGAGCAATGTTTTGTGCCTTACTGTGTCATAGGCTGCTGTTATATCTACAAAAGCAGCCCCTGTTATAAGTTTTTCTTCAAAGCCCTCTTCAATGTGTTCTGTTTATACGAGGACTTGACCGGTGCAAGATTTGCCAGGTCTGAATCCTCCTTGTTGTAGGATGAGGTGCTTGTCGACATTTTTTTGTATTCTGGCGAGTATGAATCTCTCGTATAGTTTAAAAAAGTGACACAATAGCGAAATAGGTCTGTAGCTACTGGGGTCTTCTGGATCATTTCCTTGTTTTAACAAGGCTATTACTTTAGATTTCCTCCATGATTTTGGAATTTTGCACGTTTTGCAGCACGTGTTGCAAGATCCAGTTGCAAATTGCAAGATCCAGTTTTTTGCTCCTTGGCCTAAATGCTTTATTTGTTCACTGCATATATCATCCACACCTGCAGCTTTCCCGTTTTTTAACCTGTTCAGACCGTCGTGGAGTTCTTTCAGTGTAAAAGGAGTTCCTAGTTGGTTTGTCTACGAATCCAATCTTCTCCTAATGTTTGGGTCCTTATGGATTATGTATTAATGGTTGACTACGAGAAAGCGTTTGATCGAGTACAGCACTCCAAGAT